TTTTTTTTTTTTCTTTTTTAAAGAGAATTAGAAACAGTGGAGAAATGTATAACTATTTTAATGTTACTTTCTCTAGAAATATTCAGAGTTTGAATAAGAGCTAACCAAAAGCCATTTAGTGTAGTTTGCATCTATTTCTGATTAATCTGCTATCTGCTAGTTACAAACAGATTAGAATCCTAAATTGTTATCCTTAGCAAAATGAAAGATTATTACAACTTTTAATTATTTTCTGTATATTGTACATTTGCACTTATAGAAATCTCTTTCCTTGTGGAGACTCAATGGTTTGCATAATTGATGACCGAGAAGATGTCTGGAAGTTTGCCCCTAACCTGATAACCGTGAAGAAGTATGTGTACTTCCAGGGCACAGGTGATGTGAACGCTCCCCCTGGGTCCCGGGAATCTCAGATGAGAAGGAGAGGTGGGTGGCCTCCTTCCTAATCCTTTAAAAAGAAATAATTAGCTTTTTGCTTTATTGTTTATATCTTATTTCTTATCTCTGTTTTGGCTGTTATAAATTCAGGATTCACTTTATTTGTTTTTCATTTATATTTCAATAGATGTAGAGATTGTTGGGCTTATTTATGTAATACTAAAAAGCAAGACACTATTTGGTTTCAATTTTGGTTTTTTTAAAAAATAGCATTAACCTAAACATTTTTACAATCGAGTAAAGACTGAAGAATGCTGTTTAAATAAAAAGAAAGGGGGAAACGGAAAAAAAGAAAAAAAANCTGCTTAACTGTTTGGTTAGCTATGGCATGCATCTATGACACACCTAACCAAAAATTTTCCAGTATACTTAATTGAAAAAAAATCTGCATATATGTGGATCTGTGCAGTTCAAACCATGTTGTTCAGGGTCAGCTGTGCATCTGAATACTGACATTCATCCCAGTTTTCCTTAAGCAGACATGACTCTGGGAATTTGGCTGCAGCGTCTCTGGAGAGCACACTTGTGGGATGTGGTGGCCGTATCTGTAAGAGCTGTCCACGGTTCACAGGACCTGTCTGTGGCCACAGTCTGTCTTAAGGAAATTCGAAGTTTTGGTTTTAGGTGTCGCTGATGATCTTTAGTTTTTAAATAAAATATTTTGAGGCAGTTAGTTACTACTGTAGTCACTAAAGTAGAACTTAGGATCAAGGCCAGAGAAAGTGGAACAGCAGGCATTCTTGGGGCAGGTTGGAGGCGGGGATCCCTGACTCTGTCTCCAGCAGGATTTGGTGAGCTACGGCCCACAGGCTGAGCCTGCATCCTGTGAGCTCAAGGTGTTTTCTGCATTTTTGAAGGGTTGTAAAAGTACAGGAACCACATGTGGCCCAAACCTAAAATATTCACTGTCTGGCTTTTTACAGCAAAAGTTTGCAAAGGCCTGGCCTAGAGGGTGGTGAAATTCAAGCAGTCTTGGAGAGGTGTGCTGCTTTGATTTTGAGAGTTATGGAGTGGTGAATAATGGTAACTCTCCCTTTTGTATGCCTGTTCAGTAAACCATTCTCCCAAAGGTGCTGAAGTCTCACAACAAGCCCTGCCTGTTAAAGACCCTGAGGAAGGGAGACATGTTCCTGGCCTGGAGCAGAGTAATGGCCTTGGGAAGCCTGTGCGGGAACTGAACGGAGGCGAGGCTGTGCCGGTGGCTCCTCCCCAGTGGGACTTGCTCCGCCCTGGTGAGGCCACTGAGACAGATGTCTGGTCCCCCACGCAGGGCCCCCCTGCCGACTGCCCTGGCAGCCATGAGCCAGCAGAAGCCCCTGATACCCCAGAGTCTTGTGGACAGGGTGGCCGGACGCTTCGGGGCACCCTGCGCACAGACTTGGATTTCGACTTGTCCAGTGACAGCGAGAGCAGCAGCGAGTCAGAGGGTCGCAAGCACTCCTTCCCCACGGCCTCGGACAGGGAACATGAGGGGAA